ATTGAAAACCAGACAAGGAAGGGAAGCCAACAAAAAGTCAAGAGCTGGGGAAACAGTGGGCATGCAGCCCCTTCTAAAAGCATGCTTTCTATTTAAATGCATAATCAAGACTTCGACATTCAATCAGGCACATAGGTGTAGCATGATTATTTCAGTGAGTCAATAAAAAAGGCATTGTTGTCACAAGAATAAAATAATAATTTGATGCAATAAAATTCAGAGACACTCCTAAAATTACCCAATACCATAATCAGATAAATATAGAAACAAAAAATGGAGTAAAGAGCTCCAGTTAAAGATCAACACTTGGCCTTTTTCCAAGCTGGCCAATAATTCCATTCAGTTGTTTAATTTCTTTTTTAATTTGTAATTGGTTTACAGTGGAGGATATGCCACAAATTAACCTCATTTCCAGTTTTAAGCTTTTACCTCTAGGAGATAAGTAACACCCCACTACCAAAAAACCAGCCCACCTTTTTACCACATGAATCCCACTCTGTCTTCCTTCAATCCTTCCACCATTTCTAGCTCAGAAATTACAAAAATCAGACTTCTGTCTTTAGTATTCCCCAAAAGGCCTACCATACTCATAATTGAAAACCATTTTAAACTGAAATGGCATTATGAGCATTACTGTACAACTGAAATAGTATGCATATTCTAACAAAAGGCAGGATCATAATGCATGAATATGAAAGTCCTAAAACATGACACTGACCGTGTTAATCCTGGAATCTCCTCCCCCTACTGAAAGCGTGCCTTTGCAGCCCTCATGTTCCCTTAGCACAGCTTTATTTTAGCACAGAAAATAAAGGGAAACTCTTTCTTCCTGATTCAGGCTGGTTTTCCTTCAGGTAGACGAACACTGAAGTAGAAAGAAATTGTCAGTGTAATACCCTGCTTGAATGAAATCACTATGCCTCTTATCACAGAGCAGAACCAAGAAATACATCAATAAATAAAGATGTATTATTCTAGACTGTCATTTTGGTTATTAGGGTAATGTATTCCAGAAGGAAGGGAGGAAGAATAGAGTGCTCTTCCAGTAAATATGTGGCTCTGCAGGTATTAACTGAACAGAAATACTGTAGCAGAGCTCCAATTTGCAGGAGCCTGCAGCAAGGTTGCATTCACAGCAAGGTCAGTAAAAAATGGCAAATACATTAGCAAGTAAGCTACTCTCATAAGTGTATGACACTTTTTTCCATCAATATTTTGTGGGAATTTAAACCACAATGATTTTATTATTTTATAAATCTAGGTTAGCATGTGTATAATGACATGGCAGTTCAAGCACAGTGTCAATATTAAATGCCAGTTTTAAATTCAACAAGGCATGTTATTAAAATGAAAACTGATTGACATCTCCAAGGAGCATTAGCTCTCCCACAAGTAACTCAGACCAACCCCCTAAAGAGAGCAAATTATGTCCACTTCAATGTCCAGCAGCCCTCCTACACAGGGTATGAGCAACAACTCACTTCCACATACACCACTCCTGGATTTAGTCCAATATGATTCTGTTATTTTTAAAATAGGGGTGCATACTACCACAGAGGTATTGGCTACCACTTATGGAAAAGGTCCAGCAATACCTCTGGCTGTGAAGGTCACAGTTGTAGAGAAAAAGACTTACCAAATTGATTTAAGTATCATATAAAGCTTTGGCAGCTTGAGGAAGAGTAAGAATAACCTGCAAGTGCTCTGATAATTTCACTGCTATTTTTCATCTGATTTGTCAGTTAGTGGTTAAATCCTGGTGTTACTGAATTCAACCAGACATGTGTCACTGACTTCCACAGACTAAATATCTCCCACCACAGAGACCTTTCCTGAAACTGTAGTCAATAGAAATGTTATTAACTTGTGTAATTGCAGAAAAAAAAAAGTATTATTATATCCACTAGTCAGTACATAATATGACAAATCATGCTTCATTCAATATCCTGTAATTAAAAATACTACTTTCAACAGCTGGACCATTTCATGCAGTGAGGCAGCACTCCCTTTCACACTGCACAAGCAATGCCTGGCTAAAGGAGCTGAAAACAGACCATACCTGTGCCAAGTGACCACACTGTGCCAACCATAAACACTGTAAAGCTGGGAATGAGAGGTCAGAGCAAGTCAAAGTGGTGAAAGGCCACCGAGGCGTGGCTGGGCTGCACCAGATCCAGGCATTGCAGCAGGGAAGAGAAAACATGGATTTGCTGGGTCTGCAGAATGGTGTGTGAGTGACAGGATGGATTACAAGGGTCAGTGAGTAGTCATGTGTGAGTGCAGCTGAAAGGAGTTTAGGAAATCTTGCAAACTGTTAGTGGGAAAGGGATGACAAGTAATGGGTTTTGTGGGGAGGGGGTGGATGAGAGCTAAAAGATGCCAGCATGGTTCCAAAGACCATGACCAAGGCTCTTGTTCCAGGTCTTCTCTTCAGCAATAAGCTTAACTAAAAGATTTCTTAAATTTATTTTTCTTCATTTTTTTCCTAGCTCTGTCTATAGCACTCACAAGATATCTCTGATTACTTCTCTGGGCATTTCTAAATACACAAAGGCAAGATCTTCCTGCATGATCACAACTATTTGTCTTCCATACACATACCTTTCCCAAATGTAAACACCCTAGAAAATCCAGCCATTGGCTACCTGCTTCTTGCAGAGCTAAAAAGACAAGGTATTGACACAAGTCCCTGAACCAATCCATCAAAAACCATCAAGAGAAGGCAGTTGTTACTAAAGCCAATGTATACTTTGCACAACTAATATCATGAGAAGAGTGTTCCACCAATTTCAGATGGAGTTAAGGGCAAAATTGAGTGGAAGAAGGGGAAAGTAGATGTCTGAAGTTTACAGGAAACATGACTATTTATTAGTAGCTGTGACAAGGAGAAAAACTGAATACCATGACAGTACAGTCAGAGCTGAAAGTAGTTCTGGATACAGACCCAGAGCTGTACCACCAGAAATACAAGTAGAAAGAGAACTGGGAGGTGAAGACAGTGTTCACCAAAGCCCAAAGGGGCTTAATCAAAGGGGCAGGTAACCAGCTGCCCTCCCTCAAAGAGCTTTCCACCACTGACCAACACTTCCTCTGGTTTTTACAGAGCAAGATGAGTATTTTAGCCAGCTCTTGTTTCATGCAATCCCATCAGTCACACCTGCATTTACTGAACCTATTCCACTGAGAGCACAGCTGCCCATTTTGGGACACAGAGCTTTTCTTCCCCCTAACTGTAATACTGTTATTATCACTATGCATATGACCTCAGAAATCAGGTATCTATTTACAAGTTTCTACAGTGGCTGCATGTCCATCTCACTTCCAATTTATCCTGCCCCCAGACCTGCATCCTGCCTCTCACCTGTGCTGTGGTGCGTGTGCTTATCCAAGTCTGCAGCAGCAAGGATGAGGCTTCCCTGGAGCCGCGCTGTGGCTCACTTGTAGCAATGACTGTCTAGTCAAACAAAGCTAACAGCACTACAACAGAGAGTTCTGGTTTACATTAGGAAGCTATTTTCCAACGGCCATCACACCCAGGTTTCAGTGTTTGAACTTGTCTCTATTCATTGCTCTTCTAGGAATTTCTAAACCTTGATGTGATGCGTGGCTCTGTCTCACCACAGAACAGAGCAGCACAAACTCCTTCAGCTCCTTTACAGTCCAACTGGAGATACTGCAAGGGTAGGGGGATTTTTTAAAAATTATTATTAGATATTGAAAAAAAACTTGCTAATAAGTGATTAAACAGACATGGTGCTCTATAGTGTGTACATATTTCGGTTTTGTTTTTGGTGAAGAGGACTATCTTTACCATCAACAAATAATTATCCATTTAAAATAGAAGATGTAGATGTAAAAACTTTGAGTCACTTACTGCAGTTGGAAATTACTGATGAGTACTGTTGATTACCACTGCAGTTTTTCAAAAAGCTTTAAGATTAAGAGACATTCACTGCTCTTCTTCTGTCAGGTGCCTCAAAAAGAAACCATGAGAAGAGACACACAATGAAAAACGGCAGGTTATAGCACATGAGACTCCTTATTAAAAACATAAAATGCCTTTCACTCTTGCTTTTATTAAGTCTACTTTTCAAGCCAAATGAAAGTTAGGTGAGCCCATTATAATACAAGTCACGTCTAACTATTTCATTATCCACGTCCTGCAGCACGATCGCCCACAGAACACCTTTTGAAAGCTCTGGAGTGACGGCAGCAGGTTGAATATAATGAACAGTGTTACAAATGGGGACATGAGACGACAGGTCTGGTGAAGAAGGAGTCTCCTGGAAACTGTATGGCTGTAATTACTGAGTGCTGGTGCTGTCTCAGTTGGCTTTGAACAAAGGTAACCGCCTTCAGCAAGTTATATTTCCTCAGCTAGCTAAAATGAAACCAGTCAGAGACACAAATATTTATGATACACAATACATAACCAAAGTCATTGTCTGCTTTTATTACCTTTTTTTGTTGTTGCTCTGAAGTCTCCCACATCAACAGCACAAGAGAATTAAACAGTGAAGCACTGAATTATTTTTAAATTAGACTTCCAAAACTAGAATGTTGAAGTCATACTTACAGGAAGATAAAATGCTCTTATTCTGGGCACTATGCTTGCACGCCACCTTTATTTCTCAGTAACTCATCCAGTTTGCTATTCAAGAATCTGCCAAGCAGAAGTCAGTGAGAGCTGAGACCCCTACCTCCCTGCATGTGAGCACCCCTCAACAAACACCCAGCAGGAACAGTTTGGTAATAAAGGGAGCATCTGGTGCAGGCAACATTGGAGACAGCAAGACTGAGAAGAAAGCTCAGGCTAATCTATGCTTTCTCATCTGTGATCTGTTAAATCTCAGAAATGGGCTCACCTGCCCATACAGTAAATACCCAAGAACAGCAGACAATCAGGTCATAATTAGATAAGACACAAGGTGAGAAAGACTATCTCTGTTGAAGTCATTTCTGCTATTATCTGCATGCCCCAACTCCTGTTTCCCTCTTACCTCTTTTCCTGGAGAATCATAAATTCTGAAAATTCATTTCCCAACACTAGTGATAATCATTAGGTTGTATAGGAGAGGAGACAACTGGAGCTATTATATCATTATTCTTCATCTTTTACTGGTTATGGTTTTATGCCTGCTGACAACTAAGTACCACACAGTCACTCGCTTGCTTACTCCCCCAGGCAGGATGGCAGAGAGAATCAGAGAAGGAAAAGTGAGAAAACTTGTGGGTTGAGATAAAAACAGTTTAATAGGGAAAGTAAAAGCCATACACACAAGCAAAGCAAAGCAAGGAATTCATTCAATACTTCAGGCAGGCAGGTGCTCAGCCATTTCCAGGAAAGCCAGGCCCCATTGCTCATAATCCTGACTTGGGAAGACAAACACCATCACAGAATCATTGAGGTTGGAAAAAACCTCAAATATTATCAAGTGCCACCATTGACCAAATAACCACCATGCCCATGAAACATACAGCTGAGTGTAATCACTCCAAAAACCCTTCCTTCCTTCTCTCTCCCCCAGCTTCATGTGCTGAGCATATCTCCATATGGTCTGGGCTATCAGCTGGGGTCAGCTGTTTTCCCTCCATATTCTTGTGTACCCCCAGTCTCCTCACTGGTGGGGTGAGGTGAGGAACAGAAATGGCCTTGATGCTAAGTGCTGCATTAATAGCTAAAACATCCCTGTGCTAACAACACTGCTTTCAACACAAATCCAAAACACAACCCCAGAGCAGCTACTGTGAAGAAAATTAACTATGCCCCAGCCAAAACCAGCATAATGCCATATTTTTTCACAGTCAATTATTAAAAGAAGACAAAAAAATCACAAATCAAAACCAAAATAGGTTCACAGAGGTAAAATGAAAAGTACTACAAGTTTGGAAAAAAAAATTTATAATGAGCAATTAAAAAGAAGGGAAAGTTAGCTAGTGAAGAGATGAATAAAAGATGAAACAATATGACACGAAATATAGTGAATGGAGTGAGAGAGGTCAGCTAGGTGCACCTGTACAACTCTTCAATGTGTTCAAAGATTTCATATCACACAATGCTCTCAATGATACAAGAAGGCAATATATTTTGAAGTGGACAACATGACATATAGAACAAGCCTGCAGAAGTTACTGCAACAGTATTAGAGTTATATCCAAAAAATCCAGAATTTCATTTAATTTGCAGATGCCCAGCTGTGGTTCAGCTTTCCCTGTGGAGCTGCAGAGCCACCACAGCAGTTCCCACCTCCCCATCAGCCAGTTATGGCTCTGTTATTGTCACAGGACAAACACGCTGGGAGTGCACAGGAAAACTGGTCTGCAGAGGTGAACTGGCAAGAAATGAAACAGCAAAGCTTTCACATATAGACACTGTGAAAGAAAAGTTATCTTTCCACTATTATCACAACAGGAAAGCAGGAAAAACTGCAGCACAGAGTTACAAGGTAAAATCAGAGCTCACACTCTCAATATCATTTTCACTATTCTGCAAGTCCCACATTCTCATTTAAGCTTTATGAATGAGAAATTCATTTGAAAAGGGGGCTTCCATTCTTTATTACTCTGTTCTCCATGAAGAGGCATAACCAAAGCCATAAGGGAAGCATCCTTTGTCAGGTCAAGGATCAAACCTGAGGAGAGTCCAGGACCAGAGGACGCAGGTTTCAGCTGCACCAGGGGAAGCTTAGCTTGGACATAAGAAAAAATTCTTCACTGAAATGGTGATTAGGCATTGGAATGGGATGCCCAGGGAGATGGTGGAATCACCATCCCTGGAAGTGTTTAACTAAGACTGGACATCGCAGAGCACCCACACTTTTACCCTGCCTACCACCCTGCCAAAGCACTGCAGGATGAAAAAAATACAAGACCTTCATACTAGGCAAAGAAAACAGTGACTGTTAGTAAAACTTCACACAAATAAATAAAAGTAGAGAAAAGCAAGTCTAACTGTCAGTACACATTCTCTAACTCTTCCCCAGAGGCTCACATCTTACCACTGCTGTAACTACCGTGCCCTAAAGGCCTCTGTGCTGCAGCTACAGTTCTGGCTTCTTTAACAGATTCCTGCCCTCCATCACACCTGTTACCACATTACATCCTCCCACTGCTACTCTAAACACCTTCTATTCACAGTATTGACAATGGGCAATTTCACAAGGAGGGCAAAATAAAGCAGCCATGCTTAGTCAGGAGCACACAAATTTACTGACTGTAAACTACGTTCACACTGCTGGTACTAAAAAGTGTTTGGCACTGCCAGCAGCCTGAGAGGCTGAAAACCAAGCCTAATTGAGATGTGAAATTTCAGCTTCCTTTTCCTCCTGTGCAAGCTGTAAGTATCCTGCAGGCCACAAAAGGTAAACACACCTGAAACATCAGCCCATTAATTTTCTAGGTTGAAGCTCTTGAATGCTCCATCTCAGTTGGTTGGCATGGAGCATTAGGAAGCCACAAAACAGGTTTCAGCATTTGACATGGAAAGCAGCACAGGCCCCAGGCTGCACAGGCAAGGAGACCTGTGGAGCTGCCACCCAGCCCAGGCACCCTTTGAGCAGAGCCACCTTGCTGAGACTGCATTGCCTGGCCAGACACAGCTGAGCCCAAACCTCAGAGCACTGGGAGGCAGGACAGGTAAGGGCTGCCTGCATCGTCAGCTCTACTCTCCCACCATCACACAGCCATACCATCCATACCTTTTCCTGTCAAACCACATCTGAAAACTACTTGAGAAGAGGGCAAGATAAGGTACTGCTATTAGACTGAAATTATTGCCTCTAAAATGGAGAAATGCTTTTAACCCGTGCTACTAACAGGACAACTCAATTTGCTTTTAGAAAAAAAAAAATTAAAACTTTCTTGAGAAGCTGTTCAGCTGAACTACAAGTAAGCGGTAAGGTATAATACAGCTTCACTCCAGATACAGCAACACCAGTGATTTCAATCACCGACTCCTAGATAAAATATTCAAACAAATTAAGTGACAAAGAAGATTGAGAGTCTTTTGCCATCTGATAACAGTGTGTCATGCATGGTTACTGAGGGCATTATTAACACATACATACCCCCAGTGATGGAGATTTTAAGGTTTTCTATATATGAGCTAGTAAAATTTTTCATAGGAGAGTCATTTAAGGCATTTCCTATGGATTTTTTACAATGATAATATTTTATATGACTAACATGGAGGGTGAAGGGGTTTTGCTAAATCAGTTTCAGGTTGTACCAAATCAAATAAAAACAACAAAAATCTCTCTCAGGACAATGGCATCTTCTACCCTATGATTTTTACTACACAAACCATTTTAGGCCAGACTTAGGGAAATTTTGACTGAAAAAAAGTTCAGATCCTAGTTTAAGACTTACAGATTTGTCCTAAAAGTAAGGTGGCACTGCAAGAACTATGCAAATAAGGAAATCAACCTGAAACATATACCAATTAAGTAAAAAACACTCTCGGTTGTGCTCATCACCAAAAAAAAAAAACAGAATTCAAAGGCTTCACCTAAAGAGTTTAAACAAAACAATCTGTGCACTGTATTACTAGTGGTAAATATCCACTGGCTGACATTTAAGAGACATGGATGGCCAAGAGTGATTATTCTTAAAATAACGTCTCAAAAATCATTTAGATAAAGGTTTATATCTCTATATTTCTGATCAAAAACTTAGGATGCAACTGAGAATACATGACAGAGTATATTTGCCCTACAAAATCTTATACTAGGAAGCAGTTGCAATCATTTTGAGCAGAGATTTTAAAAGAAGAAAAACAAAGAGCAATGTAGGCAGTAATTGCCAATGTTACTCCATTCAGACAGCATTATCTTTTATCTGCAGACTGCCTGCAACACTCCCAGTAACGACTTGGTAGGCACTGCAACAAGCAGTATCTTTTCCAACTTGGTTCCCAGTTAAGGAGTATCCATCCCTTGGTTCCCAGTTAAGGACTGTCCATGCCTTGGTTCCCAAGTTAAGGAGTTCCATGCCTCGGTTCCCAAGTTAAGGAGCATCCATGCCTTGGTTCCCAAGTTAAGGAGCATCCATGCCTTGGTTCCCAGTTAAGGAGTATCCATGCCTTGGTTCCCAGTTAAGGAGTATCCATGCCTTGGTTCCCAAGTTAAGGAGCATCCATCCCTTCCTATGTACTACACCACTCACATTGTTCACACTGCTGCTGCTACCAAGCGTGCTGTGCTGCCAAGTGTGCTGAAGAATTCAGCATCTGTTACGTATCTTTCCCCTGTTTAGGGTAAACAGTATGTATTTATCAAGAACCCAGCTCTGCTGATTAACCACTCTGTTTCTCCCTTGCTTCCCCATTTGCAATTCTCTTCCATAAAATTTCTGCCTGGACTAAATCTTTGCCTGCACATACACCATATGGCACAATGATATAAACAAGACAAGACCAAGTTAATTGATTGTATTAGACCCCATGAAACAGATTTTAAGTTCAATGATGAGCATTTTTTCACCAATGCAGAACACTGAGGTGTCACCCAAGCTACAGAGCAACAAGCACTTGCACACACAAGTTATTTGTGCACAGAAGAGAGGAATTCTTCCTTTCATAAACTGGAAATGAAAGAATAGCAGTCTTTCTATGCACATTTGCTTTATGAAACTTTGTCTCCCTGAAGTGTACATACCTAAGAACTGGCACAGCCACATCTAGAGCTCAAAAGATACGTGAAGACCTTTACCAAGCAAAGCAATGACAATCCTGAGAGTGCAGCAATCACATTGCAATAGCTTTACTCACAGAGAAATTAGAACCAGCCTGAAAGAGACTACAAACCAGTGACTGTCTCTGCTTTTCAGATTTTTTTTTAATTACTTCATTCTGGGATTTAGGGATACACAAAAGTCAGATAAACATCTCTCATGTAGTTTTACTATCTGTTACATCTAGACCCTGCCAAAATTTTTGCATCACCTGTGATGAAATCCAAGGAAAAGGAAATCTGTCACTTTAATACAGCTTCCAAATCACACATAACAAGGTATTTTAGAAGAGAAGATTTTATATCTATTCAAAGAAAAGAGCAAATACGAAGCATTTTTCTACACAAAGAGACAAAATATCATAAAAAGAATCTTAATATGCAGTAAAAAAACCAAGAAATACAGAGCTGCTGTTAAGC